AGGGCAACGGAACAGTAGGGGCCAGCAGCTGGCTGACTTTATGGAGAAAGAGGGACTCTTTATGATGAACTCTTTCTTCCAGAAGCGGCCCCACAGGAAGTGGACCTGGTCGAGCCCCGACGGTTCGACAAAAAATGAGGATTGACTTCATTATGACGACCAGACGCCAACTGTTCAGTGATGTCTCAGTAATCGCAAGGGTGAAAACCGGCAGCGATCACCGAATGGTTAGGGGCACACTGAACCTAAACGTTAAGTTGGAGAGGTCTCGTCTAATGAAGTCAACGCTCCGTCCCCCTCGTGCTCTAATCCAGAATCCCGAAACCTTTCAGCTCGAGTCACGCAACCGCTTTCAGTGCCTAGAATATTGCAATGCAGTGGACGATATGAATGACAAGCTCGTGGAAACTGTCCATGCGGTCGGAGCTAAGTTCTGCAAGACCCGCCGCAGAAGAACACAAAAACTCTCCGATCACACTCTTAATCTCATGGCTGTTAGACGGGAGATGAGGCTGCAATCGTCAATAGATTTGACAGCATACAGGCAACTGAACAGACAGATCTCCAAATGCATGCGGCGAGACTTACGCAACTTTAATACTGCTCGTATTAAAGAAGCGATCGAGCGGAACCAGGGCTCCAAAGTCTTTGCCAGAGATCTGTCTGCCAGAAAGAGCCAACTGTCAAAGCTGAAGACTGAGTGTGGCAGCATCGTTTTCGGGACACCTGAGATTTTGAGTGAGATTGAGAGGTTCTATGGACAGCTGTACACATCATCGATGGAGCCACACGCAAGTGTGACGATCCAAGAGCAAGTCTTACCCGACACTATTCCGATGATATCCCGGACGTCAGTCTGAGAGAGATTAGAATGGCTCTCCAGCACCTTAAAAACGGCAGGGCCCCAGGCGAGGATGGAATTACAGCGGAGCTTCTGAAAGCGGGTGGAACACCGGTACTTGAAGTCCTTCAGAAGCTCTTTAATTCCGTCCTCCATGGTGGCACTACTTCGGAGGCGTGGAGCAGAAGTGCGGTGGTCTTGTTCTTTAAGAAAGGCGACAACGCTCTCTTGAAGAACTACAGACCGATTTCCCTTCTGAGCCGCGTCTACGTGCTGTTTTCGAGAATCATTACGAATCGTCTCGCACGCAGACTCGACGACTTCCAGCCTCCCGAACAAGCCGGTTTCCGAAAAGGCTTCAGTACCGTAGACCACATACATACCCTGCGGCAGATTGTACAGAAGATCGAAGAGTACAATCTGCCACTTTGCATGACGTAGGTATGTGGACTATGAGAAAGCCTTTGATTCCGTCGAAATTTGGGCGGCGCTACAGTCCCTTCAGCGGTGCCAAGTTGACTGTCGGTATATCGAAGTGCTGAAGTGTTTGTACAGTAGGGCTACGATGGCTATTAGAGTACAGAACCAGAGTTCAAAACCTATCCAACTGCAGAGAGGTGTAAGACAGGGTGACGTTATATCCGCGAAACTCTTCACGCTGCGTTGGAAGACGTTTTTAAGATACTGGACTGGAAAGGATACGGTATTAACATCAATGGCGATTACATCACTCACCTTCGATTTCCGTACGATATAGTGCTTATGACAGAATCGCTGGAGGACCTTAGCACTATGCTCAATGACCTCAATAGTGCCTCCCAACGGATAGGTCTTAATATGAACATGGACAAAACAAAGATCATGTTTAATGTCCATGTCACACCTATGCCGGTAGTTGTTGGGAGCACTATGCTCGAAGTTGTTGACGAGTACGTTTACCTGGGACAAATAGTTCGACTAGGTAAGTCCAACTTCGACCGAGAGGTCAATCGACGAATTCAACTCGGCTGGGCAGCGTTCGGGAAATTACGACACATCTTCTCGTCAGGTATACCTCAGTCTCTGAAAACTAAAGTGTACAACCAGTGCGTGTTGCCAGTGATGACTTACGGATCTGAGACGTGGTCCTTCACTGATGGCCGTATGTGGACGCTCAAGGTCGCTCAGCGAGCTATGGAGAGGGCTATGCTCGGAGTTTCTCTGCGTGATAGACTCAGAAATAAGGATATCCGCGGTAAAACCAGAGTGACCGATATAGCCCAACGGATTAGTAAGCTGAAGTGGCAATGGGCCGGCCATATAGCTCGAAGAACCGATAACCGATGGGGAAGAAAGGTTCTCGAGTGGCAGCCTCGTACCGGTAGGCGTAGTGTAGGGCGACCCCCCACTAGATGGAGTGACGATCTGGTAAGACATGCAGGAAGTCGATGGATGCAGGTGGCTCAGGACCGTGCTTTGTGGCATTACTTGGGGGATAACCTACGTTCAGCAGTGGACTTGTGAAGGGCTGTAATGATGATGATGATGATGACTTTTACTAAGGGAGTTTATATTTTCTTTGTTACGCATATGTGTATTTTGTTTAAATTGCGGCTCTGCTAGTGGTTTTATGTTGTTGAAAGACGTTACTAAAATTGTTAAATGTAATACGATATTGTTTCTCAGTTTCTTAAAAATCACACCAAATGATAAAAGCCATAATAGTGGTAGTTCTATTATAACCTCAAAAGCTGATACTTTTTTGAAATATATCTTTTCTGCAGCTAGTCCGCTATAAAAATAAGATCGTATAGAAATTTCCTAGTGATCGACAATACAACACATAATTTTCAGATGCTTTTGGTTCCATGGCGAACAATGTATGGGAGCAGAGCAATGTCCTTTAACCAAGCAAATAAACATGCAACTTCAATCATTTGTAGATTAAGAATTGGAATTGGACACGCTTGTGTACACATGTACATCTGGCAAAAATCGGAGTAAGTGATAGCTCATGTGGCTTAGATGAAGGTTCCACCAACCATATTTTTTTTCAACTGTCCCAAATTATCCTCCTCCCTTTATGATTACCTTCCTCCTTATATTCCTCGACCTATAGATTTTAATTCTCTTTTAACATATACCAGTACTCCTTTTGTGTATATTTTATGTGATTTTATTAATACTTATAATATGAAACTTTAATTCCTTGTCACTTTTAACATACTGATAAGATTTACACCTTATTAACATGTGTGTTTGTCATATTTGTTCTAGGCAATTCAACAAATAGATTTGTTAAAATTCTCGGAGGAAAACTGAATCCTTGTATTATCACAGACTCTTATTTTGATTAAAGTCACAAGCTTTCATTTTCCACTCAAAACGTCATTGGCGAATTTTATCGATATCATCACAAAAGAAAGAAGAAATAGGGTAGCAGGTGAATATATTGAAAAGGAAAAATAAATTTGGATTTTTATTTCCACTCCTTATCTCCAATTCGGTGAACTTTAAAATGTCCCCTCGTACGACAAAGGGGTTCTGCGACAGGTAGTGCAGCATATCTTAGGGGATTTGCAGCTTTCCTTTTTGAACCCCTTCTCTCCACACCTGCCACACTTGGCCCTTTCTAGCAGGGTGGTCGTACTGCTGGCATTGTTATCACAAGGTTCGAACAATGTTCGATAGTCAGCAAAGTTCTTTTTGTCATCGAGTCCAGTTGCACGCAAAAAGAGAGCCTAAAGGCTTGGCTTTCTCCTTATAGGCGTAAGCCAGCGAGTCAGTTTATTTATTATTTATTTATTATCCCCGATGAAAGTGTTGGCTGACTGAAATTCCCTTAGGCCTTGGCGAGAGACCGAATTCGCAAAAGAAATGAAACTGGATAGATACCAATTCTGACATTGTGCTCTGAATTTGCCCTGCTTTGCTCTTTGAAGAACCTGGAGGAGGGTAATACTGCTTTTTACGAGCGCTGCTGTTTACATTCCGGGATGTCAATGCGTAAGCCCAGGCCTGATAACATAATGCAGAATGAAGAGAATAATGCAGTTTTACAAGAACGACAAAACTAAAACTGGTTAGTTAAGTAACATAGTAAGAACGACATTACAGAATCAGCATCAAAGCTGTGATGTAACTGGCAGAAAACAAAACCCTATGTGTAGGATAGAAAAAGGCCTATTCATCTTAAACCGCCGACCTAAAGTGCTTTTCTAAGTGAATGTGGTCCTCCGGTTAGCGGCATTTACCAAGACAAATGAGAAGTGACGCTTCTTATTCACGCCGGTGTTCTATGGGGTCGTGGTGTTTCCCCGGCTCGAGTCGCGCTATACGTGCGTCATAAAAACTGCTGTTTCTATTTTGATGTCGCAAGTATGGGTAACAGTTGCCACGTTTCGCCAATGGGTTGCAACAACAGTTTTTGAATAGTTGTTATCAGGAGTATGCTGTTACTAATCTCCAGACTGATTCTTCAGGTCGCTTCTTACGTCACCCACGGGATGACATGGGGTAAAATTACAACACCAATAGAGATTCAGTGAGAAATTCTCTAACGCCGTCGCAAGATAAATTCGTTTAGGGGTGTAAATACATATTATATTCAAAAATACAATAACTTGAACACGTATTTTGTAGACATTTTATTTTTAGAGAATAACACTTATTAGATAACATGACATCAGATAAAGCCAAGTGACAGAATTTTTTACAAACAAAATAATTTAAAAGTGGTACCAGACCATGCAGAAATAATTTTGTTTTAATATGACAAGTTAAGTAGCACTTAGTCATTTATTTATTTCTTGAAACTGGCAAAAAAGTGATCGAGTGATAATCTTAATATAATACTGTTTAGGAGATATTTATATTTTAATAAGCTTATAGATTTATTTATAACAATGAAACATCTTAATTATAATAAGTACTTACAAATCAACTTTGGTCATAGTAGTTACAATGATGAAACAAAGAACTTGTAAAGAACCACAACTAAATCTAAAACTGCACATTCTTAAATTTACATATGTATAACCAAGTCTAAACTAAAACAAGACCGTATGAGACAGTGCCACTTTCTGTTTACAACGACATTTTAAAATAAATGTAGGAACAGACGGATAACAGATTACGCACATACATGTAAGACTTGAAGTAATCTAATCAGGGACACCTTTTACTCGTCATTGGAGTCACTGACATCTCTAACATCAATGCCGGTATTGTCAGGGGAATCTTGAATCATATCCTACAAAAATTATCTTATTAATGCTGTGTTAACAAACTTTGAAATTTAAGTACTTATAAGAAAAAATCAACATACTGGGTTCAAATATTTCAAGCGTTTAATAAACTTTAATTTGTTTAAAGTTACTTAAATAGTGTACCCAAAGTAAGTAAGTATTTAGTAAAGTGTATTTACATGTAACATTTTTTTTATAGAAAAAAGTGATAATGGAGTATACAATCCACCCCATGGTAAGTGGGTGCCCACTGCCCATGTAAAGAGGCTCATAGACATCTACATTTATTTTTTATTAAGATTCAAAATGTAGATGCGTTGTCACCCCTGTGGACCAAGATGGAATGCCTAAATTCCAGTAAAGACGGTCTCCGGTTCTCTACACTCACCACACGAAACACAGCATTAGGCTGCTATTTTATGCTTATATTCTGGTCCAACCCCGCTCGAGCCAACCCATTCGTACTACAATCATGTTATAGCTACAGCGTGGCTTTACCGCGTTAAACATTTTATGGTGGCGATTTCTTAAATTTACGCGAACACCAGACATTGAATAAAACTATATTCAAAATCGCCCTCACCATTACATCAGATTTGATAAACCACAAATCCTCGCTAAAGAACACGGTTCATACCTAGGATGATACGCGAGGCTATTGAAATTAATAAACAGCCATCTGCTTGGGATCCTCTAAATAAACAAAATTAAAACCAAGCTGAAGCATACCACTGCAAGACTTCAAGATACTGTAAGCTCGTTTTGCATAGATTGGACCAAAAATTAATATTCAAAAACTGAAGGTAGCTGGGCTAACTATGACATTGGGTCGTCAAACATCTCCGTCCCTCACGTAACCATGGGTGCTGTAAAGCACCCGAAAAGTCGGGAATTAAAAATAAGTTAAAATAGTTAAATAAACATAGTTTTATTTAATTTTATGGTGGGTTAAGAAACAACTTTAAAAGCCTTGAGATTAATTGTAACCGCAGAAAGAGTAATCAAACTCTATTTTATTTTATATAATAAACACTAATAAAATATTCAATTTTTAATATTATACGAGTGCTCAGTTTACTCAAAAGGAACCATAGATTGACAATAAAATAAGTTTAGAATAAAAAAACATGTATCAATATCAATTAATTTAAATAATACAGTTCAACAAACATTTATCCATACATTTGTTACAACATATAAAAGTCCACTGGTTAACGTAAGCCTCTCCCATAGATTCCCTCATAGGGGGGATTTTGTTATTACTGCCACGCTTGGCAGGTGGCCAAGCGTGGCAGTAGTGGCGGTTAAGAATATCCACTACCACATATCTTCCCGTGGGTGTCGTAAAAGGCGACAGAGGGAGACAGGCAGGAGATGGGCAGCAGCATCTTCCTGATAACAGCAACTGTACGACAAAAAAAAACTGCGGTTGCCAACTCGCTCGCCAAGCGTGACAACTATGGCAATATACCGCCCATGAACAATTACACAAATAGACGGACCCCAGTCCCCCGGCGGCCCCGCTATTCCTGGCTACGGTGGCGACCATGGTAACGGCGGGGCAGGGGGTGCTAAGAATCTCCGGTGGAGGTTCGGTTGCCACCTACGACGACTCGACCTGGCAACATTTAACGCACGCACACTGAGGACTGACGAGAAGATCCTGGAGCTGGAAGAAGAGATAGACAAGTTGCGCTGGAATATTATAGGATTATCCGAGGTCCGAAGAGAGGGGGGAGGACACGATGATTCTCGAATCCGGCAACTTGTTCTATCACCGGGAGGGCGACCATCTGTCCCAAGGAGGTGTCGGATTTATCGTCCACAAGTCTCTCGTCAACAACGTTGTAAAGATTGGGAGTGTGTCGACGAGGGTCGCGTACCTGATACTCAGAATCACCAAACGGTATTCGCTGAAGGTCATACAGGTTTACGCACCAACCTCGGCACATTCCGATGAGGAGGTGGAGGAAATGTATGAGGATATTTCCAAAGCCATGCATTCCTCCAAAACCCACTACACGGTGTTGATGGGAGACTTCAACGCAAAACTAGGCACAAGAGAAAACGGTGAGCTGAAGTTAGGGAAATTTGGAGTAGGGCAACGGAACCGAAGGGGCCAGCAGCTGGCCGACTTTATGGAGAAAGAGGGACTCTTTATGATGAACTCTTTCTTCCAGAAGCGGCCCCACAGGAAGTGGACCTGGTCGAGCCCCGACGGTTCGACAAAAAATGAGATTGACTTCATTATGACGACCAGACGCCAACTGTTCAGTGATGTCTCAGTGATCGCAAGGGTGAAAACTGGCAGCGATCACCGAATGGTTAGAGGCACACTGAACCCAAACGTTAAGTTGGAGAGGTCTCGTCTAATGAAGTCAACGCTCCGTCCCCCTCGTGCTCTAATCCAAAATCCCGAAAACTTTCAGCTCGAGTTACACAACCGTTTTCAGTGCCTACAAGATTGCAATGCAGTGAACGATATGAATGACAAGCTCGTGGAAACTGTCCATGCGGTCGGAGCTAAGTTCTGCAAGACCCGCCGCAGAAAAACACAAAAACTCTCCGATCACACTCTTAATCTCATGGCTGTTAGACGGGAGATGAGGCTGCAATCGTGAACAGATTTGACAGCATACAGGCAACTGAACAGACAGATCTCCAAATGCATGCGGCGAGACTTACGCAACTTTAATACTGCTCGTATTAAAGAAGCGATCGAGCGGAACCAGGGCTCCAAAGTCTTTGCCAGAGATCTGTCTGCCCGTAAGAGCCAACTGTCAAGGCTGAAGACTGAGTGTGGCAGCATCGTTTCCGGGACACCTGAGATTTTGAGTGAGATTGAGAGGTTCTATGGGCAGCTGTACACATCATCGTTGGAGCCACACGCAAGTGTGAGTAACGATCCAAAAGCAAGTCTTATCCGACACTATTCCGATGATATCCCGGACGTCAGTCTAAGCGAGATTAGAATGGCTCTCCAGCACCTTAAAAACGGCAGGGCCCCAGGCGAGGATGGAATTACAGCGAAGCTTCTGAAAGCGGGTGGAACACCGGTACTTGAAGTCCTTCAGAAGCTCTTCAATTGCGTCCTCCATGGTGGCACTACTCCAGAGGCGTGGAGCAGAAGTGCGGTGGTCTTGTTCTTTAAGAAAGGCGACAACGCTCTCTTGAAGAACTACAGACCGATTTCCCTTCTGAGCCGCGTCTACGTGCTGTTTTCGAGAGTCATTACGAATCGTCTCGCACGCAGACTCGACGACTTCCAGCCTCCCGAACAAGCCGGTTTCCGAAAAGGCTTCAGTACCATAGACTACATACATACCCTGCGGCAGATTGTACAGAAGACTGAAGAGTACAATTTGCCACTTTGCCTGGCGTATGTGTACTATGAGAAAGCCTTTGATTCCGTCGAAATTTGGGCGGTGCTGCAGTCGCTTCAGCGGTGCCAAGTTGACTGTCGGTATATCGAAGTGCTGAAGTGTTTGTACAGTAGGGCTACGATGGCTATCCGAGTACAGAACCAGAGCTCGAAACCTATCCAACTGCAGAGAGGTGTAAGACAGGGTGACGTTATATCCCCGAAACTCTTCACCGCTGCTTTGGAAGACGTTTTCAAGCTACTGGACTGGAAAGGATACGGTATTAACATCAATGGCGAGTACATCACTCACCTTCGATTTGCCGACGATATAGTCCTTATGGCAGAATCGCTGGAGGACTTAAGCACTATGCTCAATGACCTCAATAGTGCCTCCCAACGGATAGGTCTTAAGATGAACACGGACAAAACAAAGATCATGTTTAATGTCCATGTCACACCTATGCTGGTAGTTGTTGGGAGCACTATGCTCGAAGTTGTTGACGAGTACGTTTACCTGGGACAAATAGTCCGACTAGGTAAGTCCAACTTCGACCGAGAGGTCAATCGACGGATTCAACTCGGCTGGGCAGCGTTCGGGAAATTACGACACATCTTCTCGTCAGGTATACCTCAATCTCTGAAAACTAAAGTGTACAACCAGTGCGTGTTGCCAGTGATGACTTACGGATCAGAGACGTGGTCCTTCACTGCTGGCCGTATAAGGACGCTCAAGGTCGCTCAGCGAGCTATGGAGAGGGCTATGCTCGGAGTTTCTCTGCGTGATAGACTCCGAAATGAGGATATCCGCAGTAAAACCAGAGTGACCGACATAGCCCAACGGATTAGTAAGCTGAAGTGGCAATGGGCTGGCCATATAGCTCGAAGAACCGATAACCGATGGGGAAGAAAGGTTCTCGAGTGGCAGCCTCGTACCGGTAGGCGTAGTGTAGGGCGACCCCCCACTAGATGGAGTGACGACCTGGTAAGATATGCAGGAAGTCGATGGATGCAGGTGGCTCAGGACCGTGCTTTGTGGCATTACTTGGGGGAGGCCTATGTTCAGCAGTGGACTTGTGAAGGGCTGTGATGATGATGATGATGATGATAGCAGGTGGGTTTGCAACTGGAGATTTTTTTATTTTCTGATTGTTAGCTATAGCTACTATCCATATCCTGGTTTGTTTCTCTCTGTCAGATCTCACAACACCCACAGGACAATATGAGGTATTGGATATTCACAATACTATAACATTATGAACATAAACATTATGAACCTAAAATATGGTAGTAATATAAGCACATTTATTAACATATTTTATATATTGTTCTACGTTTAAAATAAACTAATATTTAAAATAATATTGGTAAATTCCTTAAGTATATAATAATACCCATTATTCATAAAAACGTATTAAGTATCAATAATGTTTGCAAATAATAATTAAAGTCGGGGTTGTTAAATATTAATAAATGATTCTCACTTTTAAAACTTCCACAAAGCTGTCAACTTCCTCTAGAAGCTTCTGATAGAGGATATTTTCATTAATCAATTTTTCCCTCAATTTACAAAGCCTTTCATTCTCCTCTAAAGTATGTTCCAACTCGACCCTGTAAAATACATTAAATATAATAGAATGACAATCAAATACCTATCAGCTTCCTATGGTTCCTTTTTTTCATCAACACTTGCGTTTTATTAATATAAAAATCATATCCAAATACCCATTTATAAATTATAATAGGATTTATCTTTAATCATTTCATGTAAAATAAGAATTTTCATTCACTTATTGTATTATTACATAAACAGCAATAATTATAGTGCTTTTTAGTTTACAAAATAAAGAAGAATGAAACATACCGTAAAATGCCCTAACTTGACCTACCTAGCCTTACTTTGCCTAAACTGATCATTTGGATTTCATTAGTAGGCTATTTCAGATAGAGACTTTACTTAATTATTATGGTACGATTATTGTCGGATGAACTGGATGAACTGCCTCGTTGGTCTAGTGGTTGTATTAGTGCGACTGCTGATCACGAGGTCCTGGGTTCATATCCCGGGTCGGGCCAAAAAATCAATTATTAAGTTTTTACGTCAAGAAATTCTGAGTAGCTTCACGGAGTCAGGAAGTTGGCGGTGTCTCACCACCGTGCCTTGGAAAGCACGTAAAGCCGTTGGTCCTGCGCCTGATCTCTCTCCGGTCGTGTCGGTTTACCGTCCCATCGGATTACGAGAGTGAGGGAATAGAGAGTGCACCTGTGCTTGCGCATACACTTGGGCACTATAATCCTGTCCTGCGCCGATGGCTAGTCTCCGTTGAGGCTGGTCTCTGTGGCCGAAATTCGGTCTGGAGGACATTATTGTCGGATGCCAACGCTTACTTTTGGTTCTGGCAAAAAAGTTGTAAAATGTCTGTGAACGTCAGAAATGTGCAAATTGTGGTCGCGGATATTTTGCCTGCACTTCAAAATTTTATTGTATGAATATTTTAATCTATATTTACGGATTGGATGAACCATATTAAATGAAAAATAGTCTTCTATCCTTCTCTCTATATTTTGTTCTTCTAAAATGAGTTTAAGTTGGTAAAATGTAGACAAACAATTGTGTGTCGCTTTTTTTGAAAAATCGACAAAACTTTGCCTGGGGATAGGGTTGTCAATTATTATTTTGATAATAAAACTAGTGAAATTCCGCGGTTTTATATTCGCCAGCGTGAACGTATTTAGAACACAATATAACCTTTATGTTTGACATAAATATCCTAAAAAACTTATTATTTTAACATGTGACTTCCTATAAAAATAATAAGTTGTATTGCATTGCATTTTCATTTGAGAATAGACTTGCGTTTGACTACTATTTGTTAAGATAGATACCTATATTTTAAAACTTACTAAATACCAAAATAATCTTAAATGTACCTTATAATTGTTAGAAGGTAGAAGATGCCTTGAAACAAGAAACACCAGATCTCAAAACAAAAATAAATGAACAAATCGTCGGCAGTACGTAAATGATTCTACCGAAATACTAAACTTAGTGGTTGATCTCATAAAATCTAAGAAATTATTATCGCATCGCAAATGCAATTCAGGATTTCCAGGGATACCATTTTAAATAAAGTCAAAATACCTATTTTGTCATGAAAAATCCTGGTATAATCCTAAGTATAATTCTTTAATTTAGCTATTTATGTACTACCTACCTTATCATGTCGATTTAATATATTATTGCGTTTACCACCAGCGATTTTTCCCGACCGATACGACCTGGGGACCTTCAAAAAAAGAGCTTACTCCTTTCTAAAGGGCCGGCAACGCACCTGCAATTCCCCTGGTGTTGCGGTTGATCATGGGCGGCGGTAGTCACTTAACATCAGGTGAGCCGCATGCTCGTTTGCCCCCTCTTCTATTAAAAAAAAGTACAATTTGTTATCTAAGTACTTAATAAAACAAAGTAACATTGATGATGTTTGAATTTTTAGCAGGTTATTCCGGTTATCCACCCTAAGATGCATACTACTTAATTACACTAATAATAAAGAACATTTTTAACTTATTTTACATTAGCGTGGATAAAGGAAGTAACCATTTTTAACAAATAAGTTATTTTATTTTTCTATGGTTACAAGGTGACAACCCTGAAAGATTTTCCATAAAATAACTAAATGTTCAAAATTTCTGCTTAACTAAAAAATTATATAAGTTTTACACTTGTCACGTTTAAGTGGGAATAATAAACCAATACCTTATAGGGGCGGAATCTGTTTATTTGGAAACACATTTCAAACTGCGATGTTTTTGCCTAGGCAATGTAGAGGAAATTCTATTAACTTAGCCTGGATATTTCGAGCTAATAACCAGAAAATATGAGGTGTAGACTGTAGTGGGTTATTTTGCTAGACGCAGAGTTTTCATTTACATTTTTTCTTTATATGTGATATGTCACTTTTTCTATGCGTGTCAAGAAATATCACAAAAACCTCTAAATTCGTGCAATGTTAGGGCATTTTACGGTATATTCAAAATATGTAGTTTGTTTAATTTTATTTACATATATAACATAAACACTCACGCCTGTCACCCAGAGGGGTAGGCAGAGACTACGGACTTCCATTTGACACAATCCTGACATACCTCTTTCGCCTCCTTTACATCCATATATGTACGCATACATGCTCGTCAGTTAAGAGGGTACTTTTAACGTGGCCCATTTTCAAAATGTCGCCAATTTGTTCGATAGTTTGCAACGGGCTGTTTTCCGCAACTCCACGTCTCTGCGCGTATTTTGCGTGTGGGCAGGAATAATGTGATTATTCGAGCCATGAGATCTCCCCGAAGAAGCTCAACAGTCCCTTGATGTTGCATGCAACTTCGGGGAGTGATCCCGGCGTGCCGAGATGTTTAGCCCTGTACGTAGCGACCTCCGGACATTTCAGTAGTACGTGGGCCGCCGTTTCTTCCTCCCCCATACATGCCCTGCACAGGGGACTATCTGTAACACCTATAGTAAATAAATGTTTGTTAAAGGTGCCATGTCCTGTGATAGCACTAGTTACTATCCTGATCTGCGGCTTGTTCAGTCTCATTAGAACTTTGGTTAAGCGACTGTTTATTACAGGTAGGGCCTCCCTAGCTTGTCTACAGTCTATTAGATTTTTCCAAAGCTGAGCGTGTTGATTAGTGAAGTGTCTACGTACCATTGAACGAACGTTACCAAAGGGGATTGGTATGATTGGTTCCGGCCCTATAGTGGCCAGAGCCGATCCTCTTCTGGCCAGTTCGTCCGCTGCATCGTTGCCTCTGGATCCACTGTGTCCCTTTATCCATTGTAGAGTCACATTGTTGTTTTTACATACCTCATTTAATCGTTGATGGCATTCATATATTAGTCCCGAGTTCACCCCATTGCAACTCAGAGCTTGTAGTACCGCCCTACTGTCGGTCAGTATTCTGATGGGGAAGTCATTAACCTTCCTAGCATCTATTGCTATGGCCGCTTGAATGATACCCATACATTCCGCCTGAAAGACCGTGTTATAGGTACCCAGCGGTGTGCATATGTGAATATTGAGGTCTTCAGAGAAAGCTCCAGAACCTACACCTTCCTTTGTTTTAGAACCATCGGTGAAAATTCTAAGCTCTTTTGGGCTTAATCCTTCCGGCTGGCTGTTTTCATTTAATTGTATCTTGTATTTCTTATCGAAAACAAATTGTTTAGGAATCCTATCGTATTTGGCTTGTAGGATAGGAATTTCTGAGTAAATTCTATCAATTATGCCTGTATGAGGGACACTATTCTTACTCCAAAGATTTAGGGTCTTGAGTCTGATGGCAGCTAAAGTCGCTTCTTGTTGTATATGTAATTTGTTCGATAAACTTTTTACTAGGGCGTCCCTTCCCGACTCTGCCGTTCAGATCTGCCATATAAATTTGCTTTGTCACTCTTTCCTCATTCATTCTTTCTACATGACCAAACCACCGAAGCATTCCTTTCTTAATCCTGGTCACAACATCATCTTGCATACCACATTTAATTTTATTTATTTTTAATAAATCTTATATAGGTACATTATGGTTTAGCAATAAATGTTTTAATTTGAAAAAAAAATGTACTCTGCTGTAACACATCAACAGCAACAACACAACGGCAACACATACATGGTTTAATGCATATAAAACCATGTATGTGTTACCGTTAAAACTGGTAAAATAAAGAAATTTTGGATAAATACTCAAAGATTATTCACTTTACATTATGTCTTTAAGACTTGTGGTGTGATAGTCCCTCTGTCCTATTGATGAGACAGCAACAGACTTAACTGCATCTTCAAATTGCAATAGCAGTGTTAGAGTATTTGACCAATACACACACTTTTTCGAAATATTCTCCCCTCCAAAAGAATTTTGTGTCCCGCAGTGAACTTTGGGCTGATGAAGTATTAAAACAATTAGACTGACAATCATAAAATTTGTTCAAATTTGTTGGATCTCTTAGCTCTTGTACAGTAATCAAAACTGTTATTGTAATCATTTGATCACTGTTCTTCATAAAATTGACTGACTTCTTCATAAAATTATTAACTATAGGAAAAACTGCTTTCAATTATAGTAATACAACTGAAAGTCTATCTCTTTTTCAATTAGATTCAAGTTTCAATACATTAAATAGCTTTTACTTCAAATATCATGTGTTTTTTTTTACCGTTTAGATTCAGCCAACTCCTGCCAATACATTTCATGTTTAATGTCAAAGACCACTTCACCATCTGGTAAATCATCTTTGAAATCCACCTGTACGTGCTTGGAGATCATTTTCTTCTTGTTTTCAGCGTCTCTATAAAATAAAATATTTAAAAACTAATTAATGCATTTCAAGGCAGCTCAGAGCTTGCAAATCATGTAAAAGCTGTTTATTTTCCACATGTCACTGTTCAATTAAAATTAAAATGGTTTGATAAGATGTCAAGGTGGGTATAGTGATTTGCATAATATGTTTAAAAATATATCCATTACAGCTCATAAAATTCCACTTATCAACATAGGCCTCCCGCATTGATTGCCCGGGATTTTTCCATAGTTGACATGCTTGGCGAGCAGGTTGTAGACCACAGTTTCTTTTGGTTTGTTAGCAGGAAGATGCTGTTGCCCATCACGTTTCGATTTCCTTCTGTCGCCTCTTACGACACCCACAAGACAATATGGGGTAGGAAGTGGATATTCTTAAATCTCTGTTACACAGTACAATGTATAATTTATACAATCTTCAATAATTTATCAGTATGTTTTGATTTTCTATGTTTTTATTACAAGATAGTTATTTTTAGGTATTTTGGAAATATACATGTAATATTTATTTTATAAAATTATAATACCTATGCATCAATAAGAAAATAATAAATTATTATGCCTTATACTTACTAAAATTAATTTATACTATACTAAAAACGGTCCAAAAAGCAATTAAATGAATTTCTTGAAATTAGGTGATAACTCAATGTTAATTTAAATAATCAAGCTCATGTTAATAATTATATTAATTTCATAAAATAAATAGCCTTTAAGCTATAAGTATATAATATGAATTCAATCAATTAAACTGAAACTGTTTAAATCTGAATGGATGAATGAATTTTATAACTTACCTCAAAGTACAATAATATTATAAATTATAATAAGCAGGACAATATCCATTAATGTATAGGTACCACGAAAAGAAAACTTATTATTCCCTATTACCTGGATTTTTTTTAATATTCCTCCGCAGGTAATAAGTCAGGAGCAGCACTAATGTTAGATTTCAGGTGACGAGTTAAATATACCTATCATAAAATTAAATTGTAGGATATGACCAAAAATTAATTAATCAATGTTATACCTATCCATCAACTCCAGTGCGGATTTTGTATTATTTTTCTTTGTAGTTCATGGTATTTCATACGGTACGTCAATTGTCAAACACATATGGGATATGGGTACGGATAGATAGTGATGTGAGTTATCGTGTCAAAACGTAGCTAGTTATATTGAAACTATCTAACAATAACAGCTAGCGGGTTATTGCAGTCTAACGAAACTAGGTATTACAGTAGACGATTTTAGATTCACGAACTAGCGATCAGAACGAAATGTAACAAAAATCGTTTATTCGGCTTTTTTCGCGACGCATCTGCAACGGCTTCGGCTGTTGAAGTACTATAAGCGCGGGTGACGCATTCTGACTCTTTCACATCCACCTACAGCCTATACGTACGTTGCTTTTGAATTTCACCCACAAACCAATTAAGAAGAAGAGGTACTACATTTTACCTATGACTATTACCTTCGGATAAATGCGATATTAGAAAGTAAGTGTGCATGTTTTTAAATAGTATCGGAGTGCAAAGTCGCGCTTGGGACGTGCTGAGAGGAGAGCCGTGGTAGCTCAGATGGTTAACGCTCGCTGTAATATAACAGAACGCGAGTAACCCGGGTTCGATCCCCGCCGGCACCAATGAAATTGTTAATTGCAATTTTAAGTGCTGATTTACCACGTGCTCGGCGGTGAAGGAAAACATCGTGAGGAAACCTGCATGTCTGACACTTCTCCGCCCTAAAACCCTCTCATAAAGGAGGGGAGGCCTGTGCTCAGCAGTGGGACGTATATAGGCTGTAACTTTACTTTTACTATGTTTTTAAACAAAAAAATATTTTCGAATTTCTTGAATTTGCGTGGTCTTTACCCAGTCTAAATTCTTTTCGTGTTTGATGACACGGTTTGTTTTTAGGTTCGATTGTTAATATAGCAGATTTTGTTTTGTGCAACAATAAAATTATTTGAAGTAAAATAAGAAGAAAATACAATTGTGTATATTAGAGTTAATAATAATGATTGTACACTAATAGTGTGTGAATAATCTAGACTTGAAAATATTATTAGATACTTGTATGAACTTTTTAATGCATCTGCATTATTTAAAATTTAACTTAAGTATTAATTGTTACTTAATTAACTCGTCACCAACCAGTCATAAGCCAGTATAAAGCATGAAGAAATTTCATTGCTATATAAATCTTTTTAATATTAAAATCTTGATAACAGTAATCTTAACGAAACGGGAACACGATACAAGCTAATCAAGCTTTCTCGTGAAACGGCTATCGTTTCTTTCACCACGTTTTTCAATTAAACACGTCGTCATGGAGTATAGAGGTAAGGAGGACAATCTCCCATAGGAGAATAGTTGAAAATGTGTCCATCTGTAAGCAGTAAATAACAGTTCAAAAAGTCTCCACAACAGCGCTCGAGTAGCTACAGGGTATGATAAATCGCCGTAAAATACGTTGAGTGGGTTTGAAAATAAAAATTATGAAAGCAATAAAATAATTATTGCAAAAAGAATTATGGTGAGCCTGTGCAATAAAAAATATAGTTCTTTTAAATTTAGACTGTAGCTACAGTGGCGCCATCCTTATTTAGCGTCTGTACTCCTTACCGGTACACTCCATACACGTCGTTGAACACTCTATTGAAGCTACTATTGAAATACGTTTCAAAAGCCGCTATTGATAGATATATTAGATAGATAGTTTCATTTCACCATTAATTTCCCTTCCTTCTCATATTTCTTCAATTAATGCTGTGTCAGTTAGAGCTCATAGCATTTCTTGCCTTTCTATATACATTCCTGAACCTAGTTTAAATAACTTATCAAAACTCACAAGGGTTATATCCTCCATCCCCTCTCCTATGGTCATTCTTGGTGATTTTAATATGCACCATACTTCATACGGCTCCCATTTTTGTGATCCTTGGTCCTCTACATTTTTAGATATCATTGATAATTTAGATCTATCTTCTTAATGATGGTTCACCTACACCTAGAGTATCCCCTCACTAAAACCCTAAGTCAGTATCAATACAGTTTTGACTCCCCTTTCTCCTATGAGGAGTTATATACTGTTCTTAGTGCCCTTAAAGACTCCACCAGGAGTTAATGGAATTCCTTATTCTTTCATTACTAATAGCAGTGAATCCACGGCAGCAATTCCCCGATACAAAATAATTCTTAGTTTTAAATGCTTCTCTATTTCTTCCACTTTTCAAGCTCTGATATACAAACACATAACTTAAATTAGACAGTAATTCTTACTGACTCCAAAAGTTGTTTGTTAGTAATTTTGTCAAACCAGTTCCATAGAAAACATAAGATTCCCTTGATTATCCAAATTAAACAAACAATGTATAGATGTCATCTTAAGGGCGTTCAGGTTTCTTTAGTGTGGATTCCAGGCCATAGTGTTACCAATTCTAATGAAACAGCTGATCTGAGGGCTAAAAACTCTATTGGAAGTAGTTTACAATGTAATATAATCTACTCTCCGGACATAGTGTTTCTTGCAAAGCAGAAGTTAAATAATTATTAGAATATGTTATGGAAAACCACTTAAAATACAAAAGGTATGGTACTGGTAAAGGTACTGGGGACCTTCAAGAAAAGAGCTTACTCCTTTCTAAAGGGCCGGCAACGCACCTGCAATTCCCCTGGTGTTGCGGTTGATCATGGACGGCGGTAGTCACTTAACATCAGGTGAGCCGCATGCTCGTTTGCCTCCTCTTCTATAAAAAAAAGTAAAGACTATGCTGCTATACAATGTTCCATGGTAGCCATGGTTTTTCAAATTTAATAACGCCAACAAACATGCAATATCAATTATTTGTAGACTTAAAAGTGGCCATGCTTGCACACAAGTACATTTAGCCAAATTGAGGATCAGGGATAGCTCCCTCTGTGAATGTGGATTAGCACTTCCCGAGAAATTGTGCTATTGGATCACCGGCTTTCTTGGAGATCGGAGCATCAAGATCGATGTAGACGGTGCAAGCTACGATTACAAGCCTATTAATGATGGCGTTCTACAAGGCAGCGTACTATCATCAACGCTGTTTCTTCTGCATATTAATGATATGTTGCAAACCGGTAACATTCATTGCTACGCGGATGACAGCACTGGTAATGTTTTGTACACCGGCCGTGCCAATATTTCTCGGGAAAACGTCTACCGGTAACGGGGCAAACTTGTGCCTGAAGTCGAGTCTTTGATTAACCAAGTCTCGGATTGGGGGCTACTAAATCTACTCCAGTTTAACCCTCAGAAGACACAAGTTTGCGCATTAACCGCTAAAAAGAACCTCCTTCGTCGTATCTCCTCAGTTTCAAGGCACTTCCCTTGTTGCCTCAGTTCTTTCGCATCTACCACGGGGAGTGCTCTGAGGAATTGTTCGGATTAATCCCAGCCGCAAAATTTTATGAACGCACTACGCTAAAAACCTGACCATCCTGATACCATCCACACCATCCGGATGCTTGGAGGTTTACCACTATACGTCTCACTAGAAGTTTTCTTCCGCGTACGACCTCTTAGGCTAAGAACTCACGGAGCGATTTTTACCCGCGTCCGCCGCGGTTGCGGGCCCGCAGCTTCTGTAGAGTGCAGATATACATGTAAAAAATTAAAGCACATTTCACGACACGTTTTACGCCCGCAGTCTGCGCGTTTGTTTGCGGGTCCCGCTGCACCGGCGGGTAACTAGTAGAACCACGCGGGCCGCGGTCACCCGCAGCCTCGGCGGGTTGCGCCCGCGCGCTCTGCCGTCGATTGGCGGGCAATCGCAGCGGTGCAGAGGCGGCGGGCGGCGGGGCGGGGTACAGAAATCCAACGCCATTTTGCACCAGTGACCTGCGGCATCTGACGTGTGCTCGTTCGACAAACATAAACGGACGCGGGTGAAAATCGCTCCGTGAGTTCTTAGCCAAAATGGATATTGAAGTCGATATGCTTATTACTTTGGTGCAAGAAAGGTCAGTTCTATGGGATAAGAGCTTAGAAGAATATAAGTACAAGAATTTAACGCTCAATGCATGGGAAGAAATATGTGGTATTTTAAATAAAGATTTTGAAAATTTGGACGAGACAAATAAAAAGTAGGTATATGGTAAGTATTATATTAAAAGTTTATTTTATAATTTATACTAGTAATTTATTTCGTTAAATTTTTGACAATTGCCAACGTAAGGCTCCACTGTCACTCATAAAATATTGTTGAAAAACATTTCTTATGTTATTGGCTTGTCTTCCGCTGCGAATTGATTGAGCTGTTTGTATACTCTCAAGATTGTGAGTAAAATCTTCTTCTCCTAAGTGATGGCCGTCTCTTTTTCGTACAAAATTGTGAAGTATGCAACATGCCTTCACAATATCAATTGATAAAGTTATTGATACATCTAAAGCACGATTTAATATACGCCATTTGTTTGTTAAAATGCCAAATGCACATTCTACGTATCTCCGTGCTCTAGATAAGCGATAATTAAATACCCTTTTTTGTACACTCAAAAACTGACCGCCATAAGGCCTCATTATATTTTGATCCAATCCAGATGCCTCATCGGCTACGAATATATATGACACAGGTGGCAAGGTAGATCCGGGTAGTATTTGTTCATTGGGTAGTTTGATAGAATTGTTAATAATCGCATTCCAAAAAGTAGTATTTTTAAAAATAGTTGAATCAGCATTACTTCCCGGGGCCCCGATGTCTACAAAAACAAAGCAGTAATCCGCATCAACCACAGCCATTAACACAAATGAAAAAAATCCTTGTAATTGTAGTAAGTTGAAGCACTGTTATCTGGTTTAATTATTCTTAGGTGTTTCCCGTCTATTGCTCTAACGCAATGAGGGAAGTTTGCATATTTGTAAAATTTTTGGATGACTTCTTTTAAAACTTCTGTTGTGATTACCGGAAAACATTCATGCAATAACACCTCCCATAATTTTTCACATGTTATTCTTATAATTGTCGACATAGTTGTGTGCCCAATTCTGAATGTGTAATGCAAATC